TTGGAATCGCGGTGATGGAAAATCTCGGCGATTTTCTCGGCACTTCTCGAAAAAATTCGTTTTATAGCGGTTTTCACTAAGCGGTTGGCACGGCGATTTTACGAAGCGATATAGTAGCGAGACTATGACTCTAAGAACTCTAAGAACTTTTAGACTCTAAGGACTCTAAGAAGGAGGACGGCGAGATCGAAGCATTTATTGCTTTCGGCCTGTGCTTTCTTCTTGGGAAAAAATCCAATAAAATTTTGCCACAATCGTAATTATTACGTGGCATTAGGTGTACAAAATTGATTGGCGCTTTGGATTCTTTTCTAACGACGTTCAACGTAACAGTCATGCGCGACAGAAAATCCGTACGTAGGATTGGTGACAGCGCGTGACGTATTCGTCGGAGCGCGGCGCTCGCGTGCGCGAATTGAATTGTTCTAGAACTTTCGATTGTTCGTTATCAGTGCCTGTTTGCGTGTAACGAATTGTTTTTTAAAAAGAACAAAGAACGCCAAATCGATGATTTTAACGAGGATTAAGATCATGCTCGAGATGAAATCACGAGCTCAATTTATGTGTGCGTTCAATGACAATTAATGTCGGTCGACTGAAAGAATTCTTGCTTTTCTTTCGAATTACCGATCTCAAACATATTTATTATATAATAAAACAAGATTTGAAGACTAACCTCAATAAAATTCGACAACATCCAATTTCAAAAATCTTTTTTCAACTACTACACGCATAATCTAATAATGAGTTTTCTATTAAATATGTTTCACTCTATGAGTAACAAGTGCATAATAAAATCAACCACATGCTCTTATTAGTTTAGCAGAAATTCCGCTATCTCATATTAGGAACCTATCTCATAATAGACGATCTTACCCTATGTAAATGAAGCTATCGAAAAATTAATAGTTGCGTGATATTTTATACAAACACATTTTTACGTGAATTATGTATTGTCTACATAATTAAATGACTACAAATTCAAGGCGATTGGAGGTTAAATGATGAAAAAAAACTCAGATAAAAAAGAAATAAACTTTATTAATAAATCTTCGAAAAAGTGAAAGAGACAATTTCAAAAGAAAAAGAAAATTTCACATTTTATATAATGAAAATAATATTTTACGTAATCACGTTTTACATAATGAAATATAATATTTTACATAATGAAATAAATTTATACAAACTTTTTTTTTTTGAAAAAGGAAAATTTCAATAATGTAAGTGTTCGAATTGTTGTCCTCTTGCATTTATACAAGCTTGCAATCTTCGTTAAAAGTTATTATGCACACTTTGTAATTCGTCTCTTGAAATTATTTATTGATACACTTTGTGTATTCTTAGCATATTTTTTCTAATAATTAGAGGATTAATATAAACAATTTCTCGGATTCTGCTTCAAAAGAGAAAATCTAGGCAGGTCAGATCAAATAATCTGGCTGGATCTCCTCAACCTATCCATTGGTTTCCATCAGTATTTGTATTTTTATCATTTGTATTTTTATCATTTGTATCAGTATATTTTATCAGGATTTGTATCCTTTCAAACCGTACAACTTTTATCTGAAACATTTTTCCGAGATATTCGGCCTATTTGAAATTTTTCACTCTGTATATACCTACATATATGTATACATAATTATTATTAAAGTAAAGTCTCAATTTGCAGTAAGAGAGGTTACTAACAGAAACATAAACGCATTGCAAACGTTTAAGGAAATCAAGCACGAATTCAAACATATCAAAAGTATGATAAAAGTAGTAAAAATTGCAATTCCCAGGTATAAAAATATGTTTATTATTAATAATTACTTTAATTTATACGTATCATTTTATATTTTATATTAACTTGCGTAAAATAATTTAAAGAATTATAACTCAAAATTACTTTGACAGTACATTGAAATTTTTTATTTGTTATCTTCATTTAAAGAATTATTTTAAGAAATCAAAATGGTTGCAGGTATATGTTGATGAAAGCTTACTATTACATGATACAATTGCAAAAAAGGACTGCAATAAAAATGTTACAGAAAACGAAGAAGTTATGTATAAAAGTAGATAATAAAATGATTTATGCATGGGCAAATCATTGTCAGCAGGTATGTTAAAATTTTATTCCTATTATAATATCACATAATCTGGATTAAACTTTATTATATTTAGGATTGGCTAGATGCCGTATCTTTTATACACAAGGATTTGTGGATAGAAAGAGCTAGGGAGCTACGTGAAGATTGGGATGAAGTAAATGCCAATGATTCAAAGATGATTCCTTATACATTTCCATTACCAAAATATATGTTATGAATATCTATAATTTTAATTTAAATATACAGGGCCCTATATATATAGTAAGTATAAGTATATGAAGTTAGTATAAAATATTATGCTATTATTTATTGAAATTTTTTAATAATTAATTATATAATTAATAATGTATCTACTAATCTCTTAATAATTATACTTCAATATTAAAAAGTCGACATTAATTAATTTATTAATTAAACTCTAATATATTAGATATCTCTCAAAGTTTAGTCAAAGACCGCAAGAAAGTTTTTTGTTCATTTCTTTGTTTGTTTCCTCAAAAATTAGTTCGCAAAGTGCTCTTTTTTTCTTTTTTGCTTTTAATACGAAAATTCCAACTTCTTTTGTACTTAATTATCTTAACAACTCAGAGAAAGAAATATTTTAAATTAAAATATGAGAGAAAAAAGAAGAAAAAGAATATCGTTTGCATTAAAAGCTTTTATATTTAAAAATTTACAGTTTAATAATTATATAACATAAAGTAAAGAAGAATATATAACCCCAATGAGAAATGATAGAATCGACATTGATTTGATATCGAAATCATCAAATCGACGTTGAATTGACGTTGAATCGACGTCGATTTGACATCGATTTTATTGTCATTTGGGACATATCACAATACTGGAATATATCATACAATATTGACATTGTTTTGCAAATGAGTAAGTTTGAATTGGTTATCTCATCACAATCTATATTTATTTTATGACTCACAGACCAAATACGGATTGTAATTTAAATATTATTTATATTTGTTGATCATTGTGCAATGGTACATAGTATGCGTTTTGTTAGTGATAATTCTTATGCTGAGTAGTTAGAAGTGGTCTGTACTATTAAGTGAATGGTGATCGATATAAATAAGCCAATGTTACTCGAAGAGATTTACATATCTTTCTTCTGAACCAATGAGAAGTAGAGACGTTTTATTGCTTAGATCCACAGATCAGAAATTTGAAACAGAAAAATAAAAAAATTTATATTACTTAATTTATTTAAAAAAAAGTAAATAATTAAATATAGAAAACGCGCGTTCGCACAGTTTTTCCTCTTTCTTCTTATCTTTTTTTTTTAAACAACTAGTCTTAAAAATCTTAAATAGAAAAATGAGAGATGATAATTTTTGTAGATTTAATTTTTATTTTTAATTTTTATTTTTAATATATAATCTGAACGTAAAATAAATATTTAGGTCCTATAAATGAGCAAAGCATTAACTGTAAGAGACGTGCACACCTATTTGTTCTTTGTGTGACAGGGGAAGAAAAAGACGCTTCAATCATTTCTAATCACTATGCGTGTCTTTCTTCTTATTATAAATCTGACAAGGACTATCTTTTTACCTCTACAAGGTCTCAGTACACTATCGCTCGCGCTCATTGATCCGCGCGAGTGCATTTATGCAGATTATCATGTCATAAACAATTTGTGTCAGAAAGAGTATGAGAAAGATGTCGGACGAAAATATTGGCAACTATTTATTGCATATATAAAGCATAACTGTTTAATCGAATTGATCTACATTGAATATTTGACTTAACATATTAAAATAATAACAGTAACGAAAGTTAGATATTTTTTATGCATAATTTCGAATATTAAATAATATTATTTAATTTATTGTATATTATATATTATATATTAAACTTATAAACTATACACATAAATAATATAATATTTTTGAGGCTTCCATGGATATTTTCTTCAAAAGAACTACGCAGCTTATGGGTTATCTTTATGTCTCGATGTATATACTGTTAAATCGTTTAAATTAATAAAAAGAAATATTTTATGAATATTGCAATTTTACTTATTAGAGGGCGAAAATTAATCTGATATAGTATCAGAGTAATTCTCATCATAGTGAAGTGCATGGTATAAAAAAAATAAGACGGATAAAACATTTCTATGAATGTGTAATAGATGAATGAATTTTGACCTCGTTCCAGTATGTTATCGCTATTATAAAGCAGAAAAAGTACTTGGATCCAGATTTGATTCCATCATGCGCAATCAGCGCAATGCGTCACCTGTCTTATTACACCATAATGAAATTGATTACAATATTTATAAAACGTTTTTTTTGTTTTTTGGCAATTAACAATGTATCAAAACACAAATATAATCCGCAAATCTCGCATAGCTTCCTCGCACATAAATTATATTCTATAAAATTTCTATTTTTTTTAATATACAGATATTATTGCTTTTCTTATTGTTCGGATAAAAATCGGTGAGCTGTGTTATTATCCATTATGCATTATTATTGTTTATAAAACCAACATGGAGAACATTAAGCAGTTACGAAATCTAAACACTATCTAATTTCTGATGCACTCCTTTATTATCTACACGCCTCATTATACCAGATGTCACACGCAACACTGTTACACAGCAAGTGTTTGTCAGAAGAAACTAGTAAGTATAGCCTACGTTTCTTTAAATGCTAAGCCGTCCACCTCTGTATGACAATGAAATAAGAAACACAAATAGTCAAGGGTAAGAACCTGTACTTAACTCAGCTAATTCAATTTTACGATACAAGGATATTATGTCATAATCATCTATTTAATTAATTCCCTTATATAATTAAAATAAAAATATAAATAATAACAAAACATTTGTTAATTTTTTATTTTATACTTTATCGTCGAGAACATAATTAGCTAATTTTTATTCAAATATATAAGTTTTATTAGATAAATTTACTCATTATTCTCATATAGAGAGATGAAAAAATACATAAAATAATTACGACATGATAGTCACTGACTAAATCTGTACAGTACACTTAAATTGAAAAATTAATGTAATAGGAAAATTAATGTAATAGCTATATAAATTAAAATTTATATAGTTTTACTTAATTTTATTAAATATACAAATTAAAATTTATATACACTTATTGTTATTCTTTATAAAAATTAATACAAGCATGTTGGAGAAAGATTATTTTAAAAATTAACATAATGTCATGGCTTATTTCGAGTTTTAATTAAATTAACTTTGAATTAATATACTTAACAAACGTTTTGGCTTACAAAACCTTCCTCAGTGCTACAATGCGGAAATACAATCTTAAATTAATGCATTAAAGAATAACAGATACAATGAAAATTTGAAAAACCATCAATAGTGAAGTGTAAAATGTAAAAAAATATTTAAAAAATATAAAAAAATATAAAAAAATATTTAAAAATATCGAACGTTAATAAGTATCCCGCCAGATAACAAAAAGGTAGGAACATTTGGATACTTCAGTCAACAGTAGATTAATTATGTTTATCGATAAAGATAAATTTGCCAAATTCCTTGGTTGAGATCGAGAATTCAATTTGTCACAGACTTATATCATACGACTTATATCATACGATTTGAGAATTCTTTAATTACAAGTATTTTATGATATTCTGTAGAATAGATAGACTTATTAAAATAATATAATAGTGAGAATGAGAGGACAGAATCAAATAATAACTCTTACGATAATTTATATAAAATACTCGTAATCTAAACTCTCAATCAAAAATTCAGTTAAGTACATTAAAGATATTGATTGTTGTTCGTTTGAAAATTAATTGATGTGAAATGTAGGTCAAATAAAAGTAAGTCAATAAAATCGAATGTAAAGCAAGTCTGTTCAAAACTGTGAACATTTATGTTCTCGTATATCGTCAAGTATATTAAAATAAGAGTTATCCAATAACTCAGTATCTTTCATTAAATTTAAACCGTTTTTTTTGTTCTTTAATATGTATCATTTCAAATATTTCTTTTACGAATAATTCTTTTTGAAATCAAGAATACTAACTTTTTCCCAATCAAAGTCATAATTAGTTTCCGTGATATGTTTCGAGATTACTAAGTAATCTCGACTAATTGGACTGGTCTAATTTTATATTATTGCGATATTCTTTAATTCTTGTCTGCAATTGTCTCTTTGTTTGGCCAACATACGATGCATCGCAGTTATTACAATTTACTTTATATATGACATTATTATTTTTATCATGTTGATTTTTGTCTTTATAAATTTATTGAGCTTGTGCACTTATAGCCAATCATGTTTTTGGATTTATCAATAGACTTAGTAATTTTATTAGAAATAGATCTTATATGTAGGAAAATCATTATCTCTCTCAAAACTTCATCAGTGTCAACGTTATCTGAGCTGGTGTTATTAACCATCGTGAATTTTCTATCAAACTTTTGATAGAAAATCCTTTTATTAATATAATAAAAAATCATTCTTAAAAGATAACCGTTATCCTTTAAATTCTCTATTATAAATTCTATGTTTTTATTATAGAATATAGAATTTGATAATAAAATCGCTCTATCAACTAAGCTGTATATGGTCTCTACCTTATGACATTGCGAGATGATTTGAATAGAACGATAAATATCTGCCCGAGAACGTCTTTTTATGGTATCAATCTAAAATGATAATATTATCTTTATTGATCGATAAATCCAAAAAATTCAGACAATGGTCTTCCTCATATGATCCCCTATTCAATGAATTTAAGTCTATCATTAAATGAATTTAAAACTTGAGTGATCTTATCTTTAGGCAATCATAAAGACATCATCAACATATCTAAAGTATGCAGAAACCCAAAATTGTAAAAAATTTAACACTCCTTCTTTCAAATCATCCATGACAATCCAAATCATACATTTTTTGTCATCTGGCGAGATACTTATTGACGTTAAATATTTTTTATATTTTTTTATATTTTTTTATATTTTGACACTTCAGTATTGATAGTTTTTCAAATTATCGTGTATCCGTTATTCTTTAATGCATTAATTTAAGATTGTATTTCCGCGTTGTAGCACTGAGCAAGGCTTTGTAAGCCAAAACGTTTGTTTATATTAATTCATTAATTTAATTAAAGTTCGAAATAAGCCATGACATTGTGTTAATTTTTAAGAAAATTTACGAGCATTTTTACTCTATTTTAAAGATTTTATTGAGTTCTTATTATTTTCTTAAATTATCTGCAATAATATATAATTG